GGCCAACATTTTTCTTTAATTTCAGTAACTTCTGGGGTACCTCAAGGTTCATTCTTTGGTCCTGTTTTGTTTCGTATCTACATTAATAATCTTTCTGACAGCCTTATATATAAAGTGGCTCTATTTGCTGATGGTTTAATTTTTTGGTAAAAAAAGATGTCTTTAAAGTGTGTACAAGAAATTAATGTGAAAGTAGAAAAACAACTAAAAAAAAGAACTCTCCAATTTTTATTTCCGACTTATAACTTTAATACAATAATATAAGAAGATCAAATATAAAAATAAAAACCAAATTATTCCTGTGGGAATCTATTTAAATTTCAAACTTTTGCTTTGGTGGTCCCCATAAGCTTATGCACAGAATAAGAATTGAAGCCATTTGATGCTTTTTTTAATGATATTTTAATATCTTTAATATTCCTGCAAAGTTTTTTTGTTTTTTTCATTTTTCTTTTAATAATGGCTCAGCACTTTTCAATAACTCTTAATTCTGGGCAGTTGGGAGGATTTTCTGTTTTAGGCGTAAATTTCACAATATTATTTTCATACCATTCCAAAGGTAGTTTACAATAATGAATTGAAGCTAAATCTGGCTAGAACGCAGGTCTCTTATCATGTGATTTAATGAGAGGTAAAAGGCATTTTTGTAAACACTCTTAACATATATTTTAACCCAAAAGTGTGGACTGAGATATATAAGGTGCTGATTTTTTTCCGCAACTGCAAATAGCTTGCCAAATCAAGACTTTTTTTAGCAAACTTTCATGTTTTATGTATTTAAATTTCTTATTTGCTTTTCCTCTACATTTGGCAATATAATAGACGGCACCAGGAATTTGCTGATGATCGTACTTGATATAAGTTTTATCATCTTCAATAATACAGAAATTTTTAGCTATAAAATTGCTCCCTTAGTGAAAGGCTTGGGTTAGTCTTAAAACTGTTAACCAGTTTTCTAAGTAGTTTTTTATTGTTAAAACCCTTCTTTCTTCCGCCACCAGATTTATGTTTGATCAATTTTTTTGAGAAAAATGTTGGATTCCACGACTAACGGTGTATGGATGTATTTGCAATTCTTTTGCTATTAAATTGCAGTTACTATTGGGATTTTCCAAATATTTGTGCCTAATTTTTTCTCTTATGCCCCTTTTTTTTGTCATTTTTAAAACTAATTTTAAGTTAAATCAAAAACTAATACATTTTTTTTGAAACCACAACACATTGTAAACAAAATACAAAACAATTAAAAAGATTTTAATATAACCACTGAAAAAAAATGACGTACTTATTCTTTCACATTTATTTCGTGTACACGTTTTAGGATAAAATTTTATATTTTTATTGCAAAAATAAGACCATCACAGCATGACAAATCGATGTTTGATTATATTTGTAAATAAAAAAAATGGAAAGTTTAGTTTTTATATTATAGCTAGTTTTTGCATACCGCAAACTTTTGTTTTCTCGAATTAAAACGCATTAACGTGTAGCATAGAATTACTGTACTGACCTTTAATAGAAACCATTTATACAATTGATTGCAAAATTAGTATATGACAATGCACTAACTTTGCAATCAATTGATTCTTGCAATAGGTTGCTTCTCTATATTGTGCTCACCATTATCTTACTCCTGATTCCATTTTCTACCCCTTAAATCTCTTATTCATCCCTGTATGGGTTACTGTTGTCATATTTGGTTCTTTTAATGGTACTCTTACTCATTCTCGCTTACCCCGTAAATCTCTTATTCAACAGTCACATCTTTTTACTGTATTTGTTCCTGCACACTCTAAAAACCTTTATTTGTTTTTTTTTTTTCCCTTTTTTTTATCCCTTCAGAACTCTCTCCCATCTTCATGTTTTTCTGGCTCAAACAATCTACAATTTTTCAAGTCTTTTGTCAACTGTTTCCTTGCTCTTTAACTCTATTCTTTGTGTTCTAGTAACTCCTGACCTAATAGTGGTTGCTTGCAGCCTTGTTAGGAGTGAATGATCTGTGGCCATTGGTCAGTTTGTGATAAGTGCAAATATGACATTTTGTAGGAAAAGAATTGGAAAATTTGATTAGTTGCCATTAATCAGGTAATAATGGAAGATATAATATTTTTCATAAAAATAAATAAATTTTTTTTAAACTACAGCAATCATAGTTTGATCAAATGAAAGCTCTAATGAAATATAACAAAACTGTATATTTATTTCAAAATGACCAATTTTGCACTCATCATAAATTGACTAAAGGCCAAAGGCGTGTTAAAATATTGCAAATTATATAAATCAGGAAAACAAGATGAAGAGAACAAATTTCAATAAGCTGATGTTCAAGAAATAAACTAGGCAAATAAGATTTTTTTGAGCATTTTCGAGCAGTCACAGTAAAAGAATGAGAATTTATTAAAATACAAGTAATACAAGAATGTGTTTCATTTAATGGAATATGACATGCTTGCTCTTTAGAGCAGTGCCCATTATAGTATTTATAGAAAAGAGAAAGAGAAGCAAGATTACGACAATGTGACAATTGTTGAAGGTTGGATGCAAGAGCTGGTCCAACTATATATACAATGTGTTTTTGCACCTTGTCTAAAAGAGAAAGGGCATTATTTGAAAACTTTGAGACAGAACTATTTAACTTAGTAAAATCAATAAAATTTGAGAAATCCCAAAGGCAATTTCAAAAAAAATTAAAGAATGATATGTCAAAAATTAAATCTAACCCTAACATTCTAATATTTGCCAACAAAACCAACTTCATTTACCGAAAAACAAACAAAAACGCCCTAAAAAAGCCCTAAAAAACTCAAAAATTCAATCAAAGCAAAAAGCATAGCAACTTAACTAATGTGTTACAGAATCAGAGATTTAGGTAATCAGGGAATCAGTGACCTAGATAATTACATATTAGATATACACTACCATCCATAATTATTCAAATGGTCATACTTTTCAATGTATTAGATTTACACTACCATATAATTAGATATACACTACCATCCATAATTGTTCAAATGGTCATACTTTTCAATATAAGATATCAAAGTTTTAATTACTATTGGGCAGAGGTGGAAAGTAACGAATTACATTTACTCGCGTTACTGTAATTGAGTAGTTATTTTGAGAATTTCTACTTTTTGAGTATTTTTTTAAATGTGTACTCTTACTTTTACTTAAGTACTTTTTTTCTAAAGTATTTTACTTCGTTACATTTGAAATCATATGCGTTACTCAGTAAAAAAAATTATTATGTATCGTTTAATTTCACAAATACTATGATTTAATTTTTTTGTTTTTTTGAGTTTTGCTCATTTAAAAAAAAAATGACACTTTTAAATTGTTTAGAAAAAAATGTTGAGCGCGCTCATAACGAGTTTTAACTGCTTTAGCTTGGTTTCTTTTCACTTTTTACGACTATAAAAAAAACTTTCTGTGCAAAAAAAAAGTTTTTTGCAAAAAATTTTTTGCTTTGTTACTGAAAAAGTAACGCAGTAACTTTTACTCTGAGTACATTTTTAATAAGCTACTTTTTACTTTTACTTGAGTAAACTTATCGACTGATAACTTTTACTTGTACTTGAGTAAAATTTCACTCAAGTAACAGTACTTTTACTTAAGTACAATTTTTTTTTACTTTTTCTACCTCTGCTATTGGGAGAAAAACTGAAGCCAAAATTTAATTAAAATATATGTCATTTTCCTATGGACTAAGTTTACATAAAAACTAATATAAAGCTTCATTTTTTGCATAATTAGCCATTCGTTTTTGACATTACTAATAATTTATTTCATAAAAGTCTTATAGGAGAGAAGTCTGGTGAATGGGGAGGTCATTCTATTCAATATTTGATCATTCTCTAACTTAGTCAACTAACTTAAACAATGTTTTAAAAATTATGTTTTCGATTTAAACTTTGGGTTGTTTTCTAAAAATTTTATAACATTATGTGTGGTAACATAATAAAATTTTTATTAGAAAATAACGTTATTTCAACCAAAACAGGCTCATACTTATCACTACATCTACCATATTTCATAGTCAATAATGATACGTTTACCATATTTCACGCTGCTTTATGATATGTTTAACAACTTTTCTTTGGACCAACAATTTTCTCTTGAAAACATAGGTTTAAAACTTTGACACGTCGGTCCACTTTAACAGCCATTGATGATTCATTTTTTATGCAGTCTTTGTTATGTCCATTTTAGCATTTTTATTACTTTATTGATTTTTATCAAAACATTTTAATCAAAATTCTTAAACGATTATAAAATTAACTAATAGTGCAAAACTAAAAAAATAAAAAATAAAACATTAAAAAAAAATGTTTTTCATTCGAATAAACAACTTAAAATAAATAAAATGTGAACAATTTAAAAACTCTTTATTGAACTGTTCACTTTTTATTTATTTTAAGTTGTAAATAACTTAAAATAAATAAAATGTGAACAGTTTAATAGACAAATAACAAGAACTTGTTAAAATTGTTAAAATTTTAAGAAAAAAATTTAAAATCTTAAGAGTTTTTTAAAATGAGCTTCAGAAAAACTTGATTTAAAAAATATGTCTTAGTAAGTTAAATAGTAAATTTTTATAGTAAATTAGATGAATTCTATTTAGATTAGATAATATTTTATAAAATACAACATAATATTATACCTTTATAGTTTTTTAATTTTTTTTTTAATAAGTTGGCAATGAAATTTTTTTAAAACAGTTAAAACAGTTTTGATTTCTTTTTCGCTTATAAGATGTTTGTATACAGAAGTATTAATAATATAAGATCTATCAATCAATCTATACATTTCTTAATTTATTTTTTCATTTCAAGGTTGTTTGCAAATATTATAGTTACTAATATTAGAAAAGGTCACTTATTACAATGATGTTATTGAAATAATAGTACAATAAAATTATGTTTTTCTGTTTTGTCTATAGTTTTATAGACAAAACAGAAAAAAATAATTTTTTATATTTCTATATGCCATTTTTTATTTAGACCTCTTGATGATCCTGAATACCCATGGCTAGGACTTATTTTTTCTTTACCTGTTACAGGTATTTGGTATTGGTGTACAGATCAGGTATTTTAATATTCATTACAAAAGCTAATTTTTTTTATTTTTTATAATAGAATAAGATTTGTTCAATAACTTTTTATTCAAGGTTATTGTTCAGCGCACACTTGGTGCTAAAAATCTAGTCAATGCAAGATTGGGAACAATAATTGCTGGTTTTTTAAAATTGTTACCTTTATATATAATGGTTATGCCTGGCATGATAGCTCGAGTATTATATCCTAATATTGTTGGATGTGCTGATCCTATCTCTTGTAAAAAAGTATGTAACAATCCGTATGGCTGCTCTAATGAAGCATACCCAAAGTGAGTTTACATGATTTCTTTAAAAAAATTTAACAAACCTTTTTGACAAAACATGTTGCTGATAAAACTTGTTGTTGGCAAAACTTGTTGCTGACAAAATTTTTTGATTTAAAACTTTTGATCTCAACTCAAAGTTTATCTGAAGCGACTACAAAGCAACTTTGACATATAGTATCTTAATAATGGCTTGGGGAAATTTCCTAAAATTTTGTACCCCGATAGATTCTTAGTTATGGAATCCAAAAATAGTACCCTCTAGACTTGATTGTCTTGGGAAACGCCTCATTTTTTCAAATTTGTTCAAAATTAATGACATGTAAATTCATGCTTTTTGGAGGTAAAATGAAGACTGTGGACCAAAATCCAGAATAAAAGGTTTATTTGTGTATCATTTTATCTTAGGTCTAATTGATCAAAATTTGCGTTTAAAAATTTCTTGTCTTTTTAAATAAATTTAAATTTTGTAATTTATTTTTTTGAATAAAACATCAAATAGTGTTATTTATTGACTAGCTTAGGATGTTTATAGTCATGGGCCAATGGAGGGCCAGGTGGCCTCTGACCAGCTCTGCCCCTCCCCCAATCTCCTTGGATTTTTTTTTTTTCAATGCATAAAATGATATTTAAAAACATATTTTTTTTTTTAGTTTAAGTTTGAGAAAGAATTTATATGTATTATTTACTTCTTATTTCAAAGTAAGCATTCAAAACTAAGATCTTTTCATTATTTTAAAAAACATAAATTTAAAAACCAAAGATGTTGAAATGCTTTTTAAAACATTTTAACAATCGATTTCTTTATTACTTAATATATTAATATAAATATAATCATTGACATTTGAAAAAAAAATAAAAAAAGAAAGGCGAATTCTAAATGCCAAATAAGTAAATAAAATTACAACAAAATTTTTATTTAATTTTTTTTTGTAACCAGCTGCTTAAATTCTCCAAATCTAAATCAGGTATGTTGTAAGTATGACCTGATATTGTTGTGGGTGTAGAAATTAGATACATAACCTCAGAATTGAGCACCCAACACTCTTCATTTCTCATTGGCCAAAAGAAGTTTTTGCCTGGTCCATGTGGATGCATGAATCTGACTTTTATATCAAGCTCACTTACATCTTCAGCAATCCCTACCCACCAAAATCTGTCATAAAAACATGCAATATAATCCATTTTTTTAAATGTTTAATGAAATATTTTTATTATGTTTGCTTTTTGGAATGATATCAAATATTTCAATACATTTATCAATACTTGTTTTTTTATAATCTATAGTGCTTAAAGCGATTGGAATAAAATGATGGTAAGTCCTTGTGCCAGAAACTGCTCTTCCACCTAAATATCTTTTTTCTAATTGTGGTCGTGTTTGGTCAATTTCATCTTTAGAAAATATTTTAAACAAATTCAATTTATCTTGGCTTTACAAAAGGAGTACATTAAATTAACATCTAAAATCTGCCCATTAGTTACTTGTTTTAAACTTTTTTTGACATACTACTCTTTTAACAGTATCACCAATACCAGCACAGGGGGATTTACCATGACTGGTACCTAAAAATACCCATTCAGCGTTTAAATAAAAGTCTTTACTGTGATGACAAATATTGATAAAGTTTTTAAAATTTTAAATTGTGCTGCACAACCATCGGAAAAGTATTTCACACTTGATACATCAGGTAAATTTCCTTTGATATATCTAGTTATATCTTTCTGAGTCTTGTAAAAAAATCCTGTATCATGATCAACATCTTCTGAAAGGTAACAAAAAAATTTGTGTTTGATAACTTTTTTCTCTATAAAATCAAGTACAATTGTAAAAAGTGAACATTGACTTTTTCTCCAGTGATAACTTTGAACTTCATCCTGAACAACATATTGATAATTTTCAGCAAAATCTTCTAAAATTAAGCATTCGCTTTGGTTAAGATTTTCTTTACAATTTTTTAAGTATCTACTTTGTGTTTTTGCAATATACGAATTAGTGGTAAGGTTGTCAATTAATAAATCATTAAACTACGAATGAGTGGTAAGGTTGTCACATAATAAATCATTAAACTCATCTAGTGGCAATGATTGTAATTCTAAAGTGGTATTTAACTCAATTTTTTTCTCACTTTTTGATTCCCATTCCTCCTGTGAATTTAAATCTTCATCTGTTTCTTCTCCTTTTTTGTAACATTTTTTTTATATTACACATTGATGCTCCATCATATCTTTTTGATATTTTGAGCAACCAGTACAAAATGATTTACTTATGTTGGGACTCAGCAGATAACAAACTATGCTATCTTGTATCTTTCAAGTTTAATTATTGTAATTATAACAAATATCATAAATATCATAATTATTGTAATTATAACAAATATCATAGGCATTATTATAGTCTAGATAAAATAGGAACACTTCAGAATTTCAAATTTTGCAACATTTCAGAATTTCAGGTTTACATAAACATTATATTGTTGCAATAATTTCGCCAAGTCGCCAAGGGAAATCTTTATATTACCTAAAAAACAAATTTAGTGTTAAGTTTTTAAAGCAACTGAGAGTATAAATTTTTTATAAATAATAAAATGTTTTTTTTTTAAATTTCCATATCAATTTGTTGTAATTAATGTTAAATTACCTTTTATAGCAATTCTTTTACTTTCCTTGTGTGTTCCAAAAGGATTGCAACACTTTGTAATTTTTCTCTCAAAATATTTTCCGTAGAATTGCTCATGATAACAACATAACAACTCTTATTGAACAATATTTTTCCTTTAAATTTGCTTGCCATATTATTTCTTCTTGTTTTTCACAAGAAAGATCTATGAATGGAACAAAACCTTGTTTTCTAGAAAATCTAGTTTTGTCACAATGAATGTTAAGACTTTTTCTAATGTCACATTTCTCCATATTAAATATGTTTATCATTTATAACATTATCTGCCGAAAAAATACAAAAACAATAAAATTCACAAACATTTTTTAAGAAACTATGAACATATACAAACTTTAAAAAAAACAAAATAAAACTTTTGCTTCTTTTTGATATAATATGAGGTAAGGATTCACCGATTTTAATTGAAATAATGAAAAAAAATTGTTTCTCAAACTTAAACTAAAAAAAAAATGTTTTTAAATTGAATTTTTATAATTATTTATTATTATATCATTTTGTGCATTGGAAAAAAAAAACATTCAGGAAGATTGTGGGGAAGGGGGAGCAAAGTTGGTTTAAGGCCCCCTGGTCTTCCCTTAGCTCCTGACTAAAACATCCTAAACTAGTCAATAAATAAGACTTGATGTTGAGGGATTTCCCAAGACAATCGAGTCTTGAGGGTGCTATTTTTGGATTCCACAAGTAAAAATCTATTGGGGTACCAAAATTTAGGAAATTTTCCCATGCTATTATGAAGATACTATATGTCAAAGTTGCTTTGTAGTCGCTTCAGATAATCACTTAAATGCTGAGTTAGCATTATTTTAACTGACGCTATCTTTGGAACCCATGAAAATTTTTAACTAAAATTTTCGTTTCAACTTTTTTAATATGGACTGCAAATAAGTTAAAAATAAACAAATTCTGAGACGTAAGGGTGTCAAAAGTGCTTTTTTTGATGATTTCATATTGTGACCTGAGTGCTTATTTATTTCAACTCCATTTTAAAATGTTAAAAAAACTTTTCCACGTTGATATCTAAAAATAAAAATAAAACTTTTTATTTTTTTGTTTTTTTAACTTTTTTTCTCATAAGTAATTAGTAAATTTAATAACAAAATTTAAAATTTATTGCATAAATAGTTGTTATCTTTATAAGATCAATAAATATTTTCTCCTAACATTTTAAAATGGAGAAGCACTTGGGTTGCGATATGGAATTACCCTGTTGACAAAATTTGTTTTTTTTTAAACTTTATGGTGTTAAAACTTGTTAACAAAACTTGTTGTTGATAAAACTTGGTTTTTATGCAGATAAAAAGGTAGCAGAGTTTGCATAAGAGTTAATGAAGCAGACACATGTTTTAAAGTTTAGTAGTTGCTTTTGATGAAGGTTCATATGACTATTTATTCATGAGCCTTAATCTCATATAAAATGTTTTGTTCACATATTCAGTGGGTAAGTAGTTTCATATCTGCGGACAAAGTTTTATGGTACTGTCTAAATAAGTTATTGCAAGATATTATTATATTGTTTTATTTGTTGTTGTTGTTGTTTTTGCATAAAACTATGGCAATTTATTCTTTTTATCCCAGTTTTTTGTTTCTTTTTTAACACATTTCTCATAATCATTAATAAACTTGCTATGGTTATATATCATAATGGTTATCATTTTTCATATCTTTAAATCATATTTTAGTTTTGGGTACCTTGTGCTATTTATGCCATATTTAACTTTAAGTATCTTTTGTTATTTGAAACATATTTCAGCTGTAAGCTTTGAAACATAAATACACTTAGAGTATCCTGGATTATATATAAATATTTGATTGAATAGGGTTAGATATAAATGTAATGCTGCAGTACAGCAAAACATAATTACTAAATATGAACATTTGAGTTTTATTGTATTCAACAGACCAGGTTTATTAACAAGTTTCCAAATTAATTCCTGAAAAAGAAAAGAAAGATTTAATTTGATAATTGCTTAAAAGAGTCAAAAACTATGGAGTTAGACACTTTTGTATCAAAATCAATTTCAGGCCTGAACAGTTTTTCTTTTATGTAACACCTTTTATTTCATGTAACACCAAAAGCCAAAACAGTTCCGTTTTTATGAAGGGGTAAAAAAGGAAGTTGTTTAAAATCTGTGATTCAAATTAAAGTAGCTAAAAAATTTTGAGTATTAAAGATTTTTAAATTCAACAAATGTATTACAGGTTGTTTTATATATATAAAGTTATTTTATTTACAGCAGCAAGTTGTCCTAAGGCCATTAAGTTCATTAAAAAAATTATTATTGTCAATAGAAAGTAATTAGTATAATGAAGTAAGGTAATATTTTTTGTTGTTTAAACAAACAGCTTTAGGTACACAAGGCAGCCTTAGGTACACTAGGTACACAGTAAATATTTTTTGTTTTGTTTTAAATCTGCTATATAACATTTTTAAATTAAATTTCATAATTTAAGTTATTTGATTAAAATTTTGTTAAAATTTAAAACCTAAAGGTTTTTATTCATATAACATATAAATAAAATAAATTTTTAATAAATAAAAATAAATAAAATAAGTTTTTAATATAAATAAAAATAAATAAAATAAGTTTTTAATATAAATAAAATAAATATTAAAAGAGTTTTTAATAAAAGTTGTTAAAATAGTTTTTATTTTTATATTTTAAGTTTTTCAGGATTAGTCAGGTTTAGTCCTTATTGCACACTAAATTAAAGACTACTTATAGTAATCTGTATTTTGATGTGCTTAGTAAGTAGTCTGCAATTAGTAGACTTGTTTTCTTCATTTAAATTAAAATTTTATAACGTTTTTTAATTTATTTTAAAAATTTATCATTCAGGCTGGTACTGACAATTCTTCCTCAAGGTTTAGTTGGACTAATGTTGGCAGTAATGTTGGCAGCTTTGATGTCATCTCTAAGCTCAGCATTTAACAGTTCTTCTACCATCTTTACAATGGATATATATAGAGTGTTGAAACCAAAATCGACAAACAAAGAACTTATTTTAGTTGGGCGTCTTGTTGTAGTTGTTCTAGTAGGAGTGGGAATTGCATGGATACCCATTGTTTCACGTATTATTCCTTATTAACGAATCAAGTTTTGGCTTTTAAATTGATAATTATAACTAATTATAATTAATTTGAATTACAATTAGTTAATTAAACACAGTTTATGAGAATTATTATTTTACAATGTTTTTAACAATCTGATAAACACATAATTTAATAAATATATTTTTTTAGAGGGGCATGGTGGTCAGCTTTTTAAATACTTACAAACAATTCAGTCTTACCTTGCACCCCCTACTTGTGCAGTTTTTTTAGTAGGCATGCTGTGGGCTCGTTTAACTGAAGCTGGGGCCCTAACTAGCATGGTATTTGGATTGTTAATGGGTGTAACTCGATTGGGTATGGATGTTGCTTTTCCTCAGCCTCATTGTGGTGAAAATGACAATAGGCCAGCATTTGTTAAGCTTCATTTTATGTTTTATGGTATTATTTATATATTGTTTATTTATTAAAATGTTTTTTTTTTTTAATTATTTATATATATAATAAATAAATTGTAACATTAAAAGTACAATGATAAAGATATTTAATTTGTTATTTAGTTTTTTATTACAAAATAAAATTACGTTATAAATAATATGATTATATATAATTATAATTATTATTATATAGTAATATACAATTTGATTAGAAAAGATGTTTTTAGATTTTCATGAATTTTATATATATATATATATGTTTAGAATTTTTATTTTATTTATAAATTTTCTATTTTTATTTAGCATTGATTATATTTTTCTCTTGTATCATCATAATGATGCTAACTAGCCTGTTTACAAGGCCTGTACCATTAGAGAAACTTGGTGCACTGACGTGGAAGACAATAAACAAACCACGTTATTATGATAGCCCTCAAGAAATTGCAAAAGTTATTGATATGGGTGTTGAAATGGGTGAATCAAGTATTCGTAAGCTTTTTTATTGGCCTTAATTGACATAATACACATAATGACTTAAACATATTAACTTATCTTATAGTTACCTTCTCACATATCATTTAACATGTAATAACTTATCTAATAGTTACCTTATCACATATCATTCATCTTAATCATAATACCATAATTGTTTACATTAAAAAACATTTTAGTAAAAACATGAGAAAAACTTTAATTATTACTACGAATTTTATTTGTCTTTTTATTTTGCTATTACTGTTGTGTGATAATAATAGTTAGGGCTTTTTTTACCCATTTATGATGGCAATAACGGAATTATAGACAAAATGGGGTTTCTTTAAGTTCTTTTATATTTTATTTTTTATTCTATTCTACTTTTGTTCAAAGTTTCTCCATTTTTTAAATTTGAAATAGAATATATTTCTCTTTTTAATAAAGATGTTTGATGATGATGATGATGATGATGATGATGATGATGATGATGATGATGATGATGATGATGATGATGATGATAATGATGGTGATGATGATGATGATGATGATGATGATGATGATGATGATGATGATGATGATGATGATGATGATGATGATGATGATGATGATGATGATGATGATTGGCACTTTTGTAGCTTATCTTGGTATTTTCTCAACAAACTTTACATCTTTTATTATATATGATGACCAAGTAATAATTTTATAATTCAGGTTAGATTTGACAAATTTTTTTGCGCAATTTAGTCCATCCCAACAAAAAATTTTAATGTTGGCCACATATGGCAATTGCACATTGACCATATAGGTACCAATCTCTTTTATGAGATAGCATCGATGCAGTCTATGCATGGTTATTATACTTATAGCATTAAAACTATACTAATTAGGAATTCATACATTAGATCTAGACTAAATAAGAATTCATATGTAAATAAATACTTACCACTGAGATAAAAATGAACATCACATATTTATATTACACATTTTATGCATAAATGTTTCACATAGGTGACGTGTAGGAAGCATATGTCAGTCATGTATTTACCATTCTTCTTTAAAGAATAGCATTGGTGCAGTCTATGTTAGGCTAATATGCCTATACCCCTTGAAACCACTCTAAAAAAAATGGTTGCCACGATATATATCACATAGGCGACATTTGGAAAAACATATTAAAACAAGTGTTATGACTTGTTTATATTTGTATACTTGAAAACTTATTTGTATTCTTAATCAAAAGCATATGCATAGCCAAATATCAGTTAAAAAAGGAACAAAGTATTACACTTTTTGAATTTCTTTATAGTTTGATTCACAAATACACAAATAAGTACAAAAACTATTCATAAAGTTTATAGTTTATTTGTTCAAAACACCACCACAAACTGATGAATTATGTAATAAAGCAGCAATGGCCTTTTTATCTAGCTTCTATTTTTTTTTTGTCTTCAAACAATTGCTAAAAAAAGTTTCATATAAAATCTAAATCCAACTAAAATAGAAGAAAAAATCATTAATAATCAGTTTATGTTGCTTTTTTGCAGTAAACACAATGTGTTAAGGTATTTTTCTGTTTATTAAATAAAAGTTTGATATTTACAAATTTTAGCAAAAATTTATGTTGGACAGTTGTTTTCTTTTAACATGAATATCACAATCATCTGATGAATGTCAAAAAAATCAGTGCTTTCGTAAATTCAAAGTTTTTCTTTAATTCAATCTGGGCACAAACAAGACAGCAGAGAGAGGTATTGCAATGATTACACTATGCAAAAGCTCTCACACATGATGAGAATCAAGAACAACAATGGATTTTGCTGCTTGTAGAACAATATCAAAATTAGTGTGGTGATTTCAAGAAAGCAACAATGTTAAGGCAATAAAAATTCTTTTCCTCCAGAAAATGTTTTTCAGAATAAAAACAACTCTCCAACATAAATTTTTCCAACAAAAAAAACTCTCAAAATATTTATTACAAAATCTATTCAAACACTATCAAAAACTATAAAACAATTAAACTAGGTGATGTCATAGAATCTTCTTACAATTTCAGATAACAATTTGATATTGCCGTAGTCTGGTTAAAATTTAAAATGCGGCCAGATTGTATGTTTTATATTTTTAACATATAAGGCGTTCTGTTGGCTTTACTTGAAACAGATATACGAAGCACTTAAAAGGCCTAAAAGGTTTTGGAAATATAATAAAATCTTTTGAGAAATATTTTAAAAACTAATGAAGGACTTGTTAAAAAATATTTTTTGCTGGTTATAGGAAAGTATAGTTCTTATTATTTAAACAACTTTTATTGGCTGTGTTCCCATTTCTATTTTTTTGGCAAATTGTTATTCTTTTTTTAATACATTTTGTATACTTTTAATCTAAAATATACTTTAACTTTGAATATTTTATAATATTCAAAGGTAAAGTATATTTTAGATTAAAAAAGCAAAAAAAGTTGTTTAATAGATATAATTATATATAAAAAAACCTATTAAAAAATAGTTTTGGGATCTTGTTCATAATGTTTATTAATTTAAAATTTAGTACTCAAAGTTATATATTTGGTTGAATTTTAAAATTAAATAATATTGTTAAGATAAAATTATTAGGATTTAAAAGTTTTAAGAGGTTTAAAATGGCAACACATATTTGAAGATAAAAAGTAAAAACAGTAAAAAATGTTTATAACTTTATAACCAATCATTAATAAGATTTTCAAACATCAAAACATTTTTTTTTTGTTTCCATACTGATCTTTTACAGACCTTTTTAATGTTTCCATTCTTCTTTGCGCACCGTTAAACTCTTGTGAATTCAATGGTTGTCTAAAAAATAATTTCTTTAATGGCTTACTAAGTAACATACAAGTTGTTTATTTATATGTTTCTGAGTTTGACTTAACAAGTTTTAATAAATTGTGCGGAAAAATCAAATTCAAAAAAAGTTTAAAACAACTCAAAAACACAATTTTATTTCAAAAACCAACTATTTTTTATATTGTTCAAAAATATATTCAATAAAAAGTTAAATACAATGTTTACCTAAGCTGTTAAGTTATTTTTGTGGTGGTAAGTTCATTTTAAATGAAAACTGTACTAGTTTACTAAATTTTTATAGATGCATAAATAATTTGTCAACATTTGGAACTTCTAAGTTTTTGTCACTAATAGAGTAGTAAAACAACATTAAATTTATTTATCCACAATTTTATCAGAATTTTTCAGAAGAAAAGCTTCAAGAAGCTTTCAGAATAAAATATTTTTATAGATTTTCTTGAAAAAATTCAACATCTCTATGAAAAAATTTAACATTTCCTTGAAAAAATTCAAAAGTATTTTACTCATTCTTTAACTTGAAATTATTTTCATGCAAACACATTTTAAACTGTCAGGATAGTCATTAATAAAAATTATGATTATTATTAGGTCAATAACTTTATGCAAAATTATGTTTAGCTAGGGTTGATAGCTGGATCTAGGGATAAATTTAAAAGACATATATTATAAGTTTGTGCATAAATTTATTAAATTCTGATATATAATATGGATGTATATGGATATAAACATACATGTTTGCTAATTATTTATATGCTTGCACAAATTGTCTGATCAATTTACATGGTAATCAGACATTTTGACAGAAAGGAATTGACTTCTACAAAATAAAAACAGTTTAAATATAAAAATTAAAATTAAAAGTAAAATAAATTAAAAATAATTGAAAAGCTTTAAAATCAAACTCAAAAAACTCTACTTTTTGTTACGTTTTTAATTGCGTTTGAAATAAATTACTTTAAAACTTATCTTTTGAAACATTTTTATTAAAGTTAGGCAAAACGCTTTTACAAATTACTTCTATTGATTGTTTAACAGATAAAAAAATTTTATTTAAATTGTTGAAAAGTGAAATTAAATTATTGAAAAGAAAAAAATATAATATTTTTAAGTTGTTTAAACATTTTTTTCAAAAAGTTGCAAAAAAAAAACAATGTTGTCTTTTTAAAATTGTAATTTTTAACCATTTCATTTTTTGATTAAAAGTCAAGTTTAAAAAAACAACAATTCTTTGTAAAAATAGAAACAAAAAAAAAAGCAATTAAATCTTGGGAAGATTTAATTTAACTTACAATTTTAATTTTATATTTAATTAAATTAAATTAAATTAAATTTAAAGTAACTTGAAGATAATAATCTCTTAATAAAAGATTTGTAGAAAGACTTTTTATGATAAATTTAAATGTTTGAAACTATTTAAAAAATAGTTTCAAACATTTAAATTTATTATAAAAAATACATACCTACTAAAAACAAATTAAATATAACATTTAATTTACACATAATGCGTTTATTTTAAATTATAATTTTTGATTTAAATTATGATTTTTGATTTTATTTAAAGTTTTTTAAAGCTTTTAAAGTTTTTATTTTACGCCTTCGTGTAAAGTAAAAACTTTAAAAAAGATCAACGATTAAAAGTTATTTGTAATGTAACGATTTTTTTTTATCGCATTTAAATAGTTAAAACATCAAAAAAGCCGTTGTCAATTTGTAAAGAATTAAAAAAAAAAGCGTTGTCAGTTACAGCATGCAAGTTCAAGTCTATCTAAAAAAACATGCAAGGTTAAACTGGACTATTTTATCAAAAAAAAAGCAAAAATCTGTGATAAAAAATTTAAAATAACTAACGTTAAATAAACTTAATAAAATGACAAAGATTTCGATTGCATAACTTGGTTCCGTAAAACCGTAAAAACTATATTAAAAAAATTTGATCGGACACTGTCCGACCCAAACAAGTTTTGATCGGATATTTTGTCCTGGACTTTATGAAAAATTAAATTGAGCCTTGGTTGCATACAATATTCTATAACATAGTTATATCAACTTAGGTGTTTATATGGCATAGTATTTGCAGAAAGAGAAGATGATGATCAGATGGATATGTAGTGTGACTCAAACAAGGCAAAGAAAAAAACCATGATCTTAAATAGAGATTAGGAATAGTGTATGTATCAGACAAGGTACATCAGAGAAGATCAAACTGATTTGAGTATGCTAATGCGGTAGTGGTGTAGTGATAGAGCCCCTCATAAGTGAGAAGTTCCAAGTTGGATCGCCACCCCATCCCTGGTAATGCTACTCTCAAATTAATCTCTGCTCAGTCGCCTTGGTTGTCAAGGTTCATTTTTCTTAATTTTAGAGTTAGGAGAGGGTTGTAACCAAAATTAAAGCAGCCTTTTTATCTGTAGTGGCCTTCGTGGCCTTGGGAAGTTAAATTAACATTAAAAAAAATACATTTAGCAAAGAGGATCCAGATGATTTGGATATCAGCATGTAGAGAGGTAGCAGCTTAGGAAAAAAAGGCAAAGGTAAAGTGAGAAAACTTGGAAAGAGTGTGTTACATATGGTATGAACAAGCTTTATTTAAAACACTCGTTGTATATATATAAATATATATATATATATATATATATATATATATATATATATATATATATATATATATATATATATATATATATATATATATATATATATATATATAATGTAAACCAATATAAAAAGTAAAGGATACAACAAGCAAAACAGCAATAAAAAATCTAAAATTTTTTTTTTTTTTAAATGATTTTATTGTACAATTTTTATTTAAAAATTTAGCACTAGAGGTCTTTCATAATTTCATCAGCTAATTGTGAAACTATGATACTTTGTTTTATTTAATTAAAGTTAAAGTGCAGAACACACTGGAACATTGTTATGATTAGTTTTACTATTCTTGAAATTGTTCTCCATTGAGTGAAATATTAAAATGGCGATCAAAAAAATAATGGTTTAATTAATTTAAAATTTTTTTTAGATACACCATACTTGGTGAGCTTATATCCAGAAGAAAGAAGAAGAATCAGCATGTCTGATTTTATTTAAAGCCTTTAATATGTTAAGAGCAATAGCCTTTGCCTCGCCACTTTCATCTGATTCACAATAAAACCTTTCAGTTAAAACAGTTAAGAAACGTTAGATAGTGAGAACAGTTAACAAGTCACGAGTAGAATGAGAGGGTTGTTTAAAGTCTCAAAGGACTTGCTGAAAATAGTGAAAAGACTGATTGGACTATAATTTGTAAAGTCAGAGTGATCTCCAGAGTACAAAATTGAAACCTCAGGTGCCATTTTCCAGCAGGAAAAAAAAGATTCATTTATGCACATTTATGGGAGAGTATTGAAGGAAAATTCTGGAAGAAACTTTTTTAAACTCATAAAAACCTAAAATATATATATATATATATATATATATATATATATATATATATATATATATATATATATATATATATATATATATATGTATATATATATATATATATACCTATTTATATATATATATATATATATATATATATATATATATATTTATATATATATATGTGTATATATTTATATATATATATTTATATATATATATATATATTTATATATATATATATATATATATGTATATATATATATATATATATATATATATATATATATATATATATATATATATATATATTAATAATATTATATATAATAATATTATATTTATATATTTATTTATATGCAAATTTTATATATTAGTTTAAAACACCTTTTATAAAAAAATTTAAATTATTTATTAGATACTTCAAGTAGCCAATCAAAACTCACCGCAACCGATGACGAAAAACGAGAAATAGAAGAGTTTGAACACCAAACAACATTTTCAAAATGGGCAGTATATTCATCTGCTGGATCTTTAATATTTGCTTTGCTTTTTTTATGGGTTTGGTACCGATAACAAATATAAAAAAAAAGACAATAGAAAGTCAAGTAGAAATAGGTTAAACGCAAATATAGTTATAAATGATCTTTGGTTTTAATTTTTATGATGAAATATCTTTTTTATCGAATATAATACATATAGTTCATACTTTTATCTTTATCGAATATAATACATGCTGACTAGTCGAAAACTTTTTTTAACCTAATTTAAGGAAAGTTAATAATATAGTATTAATCATAGAACATTTTTAATTTTTATTTGCTTTAAATTTTTTTGTAATAAACTTTTTTTAAATTTTTCTGCGACACAATGATTGCAAATACTGATGATTAACAGAATTATCAAATCAGGTAGCTTAGGGAGCCCGCGATCTATACTTTGAGACACTTTATGGTTTATATTATAACGTCATTTTTAACTTTCTTGTGAACAGAGTGAGGTTTTTTGTCGTTCACTTAAATGAAACTTTTTTTTATTCTAGAGTATTTGTCTTAAAACAATAGAAAAACAATAGATACTGATGATTAACAGAGTTATCAAATCAGGTAGCTTAGGGAGCCCGCGACCTATGCTTTGAGACGCTTTATGGTTTATATTATAACGTCATTTTTAACTTTCTTGTGAACAGAGTGAGGTTTTATGTCGTTCACTCAAATGAAATTTTTTTTTATTCTAGAGTATTTGTCTTATAACAATAGAAAAGAGTTTGTTTTTAAATCAAACAGAGTGCAAAAAGTCACAAATGGGGCAATAGAGTAAAATTGAGGGGTCATTTAAGCATTTTAGAGGTCATTTAAGGATTTTTAGGGGTCATTTAAGCATTGTATTGTTACACGTTGTAAAAAAAAATTGTTTTTTTTTTTAGTATAAAGTATAAAAAAATAAAATATAAAAAGTGTAAAATATAAAAAAATAATATCTAGATAAAATAATACCTATAAAAAAAAGTTTATAAATTAGAAAAAAAAAAAAAAAAAAGAAGAGCCTAAGCCTATTTAGGCATTTTAAATGTTACAAAATAAAAATTCCAATAATCTAAAACAGTAAAGATATTAACAATTTTAATGTAACATGATATTTATGTACATAATCGAATAAAAATCGAATAATTCCTTCTCCTATAGGGCAGTATATAAAAGTTAATGCTAAACTAAATTCTGTTTTCATTAGAACTAAGAACAAAGTTTCGTTCGTATACTCTTCTACACATTTAGATTTATTCCGTGTGCTCTCCCCTACCTAATTGTAGGAATAGGGGGAAATCTCCGATTTTGCGAAAAAATTTCCTCGATTGTAATTAATTAATACCTCTTCCCCCCCTCCCTCCCTATCAAACAAGTTATTTTTGCCTAAAAACTCAAAGGTGTTGCAGAAAAAAAAATCTCCACCCACCCCAATAATTACAACACCCCAGTTTATTATTTTTTTACTGTTGTCTACTCCCCCGAACTATTTAACCCCCTCCTCCCTATAATTAGGTAAGAGAGAGAGTATGTTTAAATTTAGAATACTCTCCACAATGTTCACCAAACTGTCTTGGGTAGATATAAAAGACACTATTCAAGACATTAACCAGTAGGTTCGAAATGCAATAAGCATAAAACCGAAAAGCAGCCGTGGTGCAGTGATAAGAGCGCTTGTATTAGAAGCAAAAGGTCTAGAGTTCAATCACATATTTCAGAACATATATTTTGTCATTGGTAATAAATGAGAACTTCCTAGTCAAATGCTATTTCAGGGTGGTCTGTGACAAGGCCGTTAGGTTAGGTGATTTTAATGAACATACGTTACAAGTCTGTCAAGTAGATCTTGATTTGCCTATAAAAGTACTAAATTTTGTCAGACATTACCTAATAAAATACTACCAATTTCCTTGCGATATTTCGAACAGGTGTATTGAGTTTGGATTCTAACAATAAAGAAAATATTTAAGCATTTACGCAATCTAACATGTTTGCCCAAGAATACTGTAAAAAGGTAGTATGTCTCTTTTTATTTATAATAATATTTTTTGCCCCAGTATATTTTTTGGTATTTTACAATAATTTACAGAAAGTATTTTTATAAAAAAAAGTAATTAAAAAGATTATTACTACAAACAGCATCTTTTTTTAAATTTGATTGATATTTAGCTATAGTCTACATGCAAAAAATCTGACTCTCACTTGGAAAGTACATACTAATACAGCACACTTAAAAGACTTTATTTCCAGATCTGGCTATTTTCTAGAAATTTGAAGATGGCTTCTGAAGCAGCTCATCTTAAAAAGAAGCATGACATCTACAGAGTTAATGTTTTCCAAATAAACATATGAAAAAAAGCGAGAGAATTGCCGAGGTGTTCAGTAGTGCACATCTGTAATCATAGAGCCTTGTCAAATATATGATATGTTAATAAAGGATTTTAAGTGAGATAATAATTGAAAATTTTTTGCTGATTTTTTGACTAAAATGCTGTAGTCTTTATTTAACATAAAAATAAATAAATTTTTATTTATCAACCACATTTCTTATTTTAATACTGGTTAAAAAAACCGTTAAAAATTTTAAAAAGTTATAATGATATTTTTACAGATTTTTAAACTGAATATTTTGACAAAAAGGGTCACATATCAGATTTTGAGGCTTTTTTTAGTAACCTATATTTTTAATGATCCATTGACCTAAATCCATTAAAACTTCCGATATCACATCATTTTACGTCGTATTTGTGAACCGAAATACCTATGTGCCAATGAAGCGAAGTTTTTCTTTTCGTAACCAATATAAAAAAATTTTCTACATTTAATCACGAGCTGCAACACCTAAACGAGTAGTTGAACGATAATAAACATTTTCAAAACATATTTTATTTCATTAACCGTCTAACACTGAAAATTTACCACTTTAGCCTTACCAACTTATAATTAACAAAACTAATATAATTTGTTTTGATATTTGTTTTGTTTTTGTATTTTTGAATTTTAATATTGTTAATGTTTTTTATCTCGCGTGAAAGTTTATTGTAAAACTGCGAATGAATAAGATGATAAGACTGCAGTCTTCTACTCTTCTACTCGTTCCTTTCGTTATCTTAAATTTTATCTTATTATTTATAAACAAGGGCGTTGAGAGGGAGAGGGGGCAAAAAGGACAGTTTGTCCGAAAAATGAACAAGGTACTTGTTTTTATTTGGCGCTCCTCGGACATCTGAAAAAAAAGGCATTCACTGCCTTTACTACAGGAAATATTAGGAAAAATAGGGGCAATAATCAGAGTTACTGTCCTAGGCGGCGTGAAAGCTATCGGCACTCTTGTTTTTAAATATACACATATAACAATATTTATATTTATAGTTATATTAAAATTGTATATATGTGTATAATGTTTATATAGTAACGAAATATTTTATTTTCCAAATCATCCGCATCATAAACACATTTATAAAAATTCTGAAAGAAAATTCAATTGCGATTACAAATAGCAAAAATAAAGTTGTTTTTTTATAAACCATTTTTGCTTCAATAAAATGGCGCTAAAGTTCATGAACAGTAATTCATTTATCCAAAAATTTCTTTGAGTAACAGAACCCTTGTATAAGATGGGGGAGGGGCTTTTTACATTAACATGGCTCAGCGGCTCCCACCAGGGTAAAGACGGTTTTGAGTTAACAAATGACAGAGCATCAAAATTAGTTTTCATTTCCCATAGTTTAGAATTTGAAAATAAAAATTGCAATGCAGCATCATCTACGATTCAAAGTCAAAACCAAGAATTTAATTTTAGCAATGCTACTAAACAGAGATACTGAACCGACCTTTACCTTACCTAAGTAAAATTAAAAAAAACTGTCGTAAGCAAGGATGGCACATCTAAAACGCTGATGTGTTCCAATGAATAAAAGACAATTGCTTCTCAAATGTTTTCCAATTCATTGAAAACACGTTTAAAAATACTTGATTTGTGTTAGGTGATTTTTCTATTATAGTTTTCAATTGAATATCAACGGAAAAGTGATCAGAGATGTCACTGTTATTTATGCCTATTTGATGAGACTTGTTAAACAAATCTGTTGTTATTATATTATCAATCAGAGATGTGGATTGAGTAGTTCTAGTCTGTGGTTTGTTAATTACTGGAACGGCATCATTTTCAAAAATAATGAGATCAATTTATATTCTGGTAATTTGAAATTAGAGATAAAACAAACGTCATCAGATTCACAAATTACGCAATAATGTCAAAAGTTTTCTCAATCAAGTTGCGAAATTTTTCAAAGTTTTTTTTTTAAACTTCTGTTAATCTATTTTGAAATAATGAAAAATCATTATTACAAAATAGATTAATATATCTGATTTAAATAAGAAAGGATTAGTTAAAATCTAATTTGTTTATTTGAAATCGAATAGTAAAAAAATAAATTCTTATAAAAATCAGGTGAAATAATTTTATTGTAAACTATTTTGGCATACCACTGGTTTGCTCGAATATCTTTATCTTTCAAAAAAAAAAGTTTCCTTTGACTTTACTTGAACGTTCCTTTACTAAAATCTTCTTTTAACAATATTTTTCCGTTCCATAGTTTGAGTACTCGGTAATTTTTTAAAACTCTTTCTTTGTCTTTGTACTTTAAAAATTTTTCAACAATTGTTCTTTGTTTTTTGTTATATATATTTTCTCTCTTTACGATGCTAATGATTTTAATTAAAAGGAGATTTTAAAGAAAGTTTAAGATTTAAAGAAAATAATAAATAATAATAAGAAAATAATAAATAATAATAAAAAATTAATAAAAAAGAAGAAGAAAATAACAAATAGTAAGAAGAAAATAATAAATGAGAAGAAGAAAAAAATAAATAATAAGAAAATAATAAATAAAAATAAGAAAATAATAAATGATAATAAGAAATTTAAGATTTAAAGAAAATAATAATTAGTTTAGACAATTAGTATTTGAACTTTGTTTTAAAAATTTAAATATATTATGGAACGTTGCCTTTACTTATTATTATTACTTATTATTATTAAAAAAAATAATAATAAAAATATCGTGTTTACAAATTAAACTACTCTTGTTTCTTTTTCTTCAATAAACATAGATAGTAAAAAAAACAATAGCATCATTGCTCTGTTCACAAAATTGTTTCTAAACGGAGTTCCTGATTTATGCTTGATTATTGCGTTGCAATTTGCTCGATTTGATATCTTTTTGATTTAGCTCTTTCTTGTATTTCAAGCATACTCTTAACTAAGTCTTTTTCTTCTTTAAATTTGACTTCAAGATCAGCCATTTTGTTTTTCAATTCATCGAGTTCGATTTTTGTTCTTGAATGTAAAACATTCTTCTCGTCTAATATTGGAATATAAATAGTTGTCGTAAATTTAATGAAAAATATAAATACAGATGCAGATAACAAAACGAGCAGTTTTCTCTTCCTTAGCTGCATTTTTTTTTTAAGTTAGCAAAAGATGTATTCAAGTTTATGTTCGCAAAAGCTGTTTTTAAATGTATTATTTGATTTAAAGATTTCGAAAAATTGATTTCTAAGTTTACAAAAAAAAAAAAAAAAAGTATTTATAAGTTTCTGTTTAAACTTTTAATATTTCTTGATTTATTGTTATTTTTTTAGCTTATAACTTACAGTCAAAGGAAACGCTTGAAGTTGACTTAAATGAAATCTTGAAAAACCAGTGCTGAAAAATAAAGTAACATTTTCTTTTTTTAAAGAAAGTTTATTAAAAAATCCACCAGAATTATAAACTGCGCAAATCTGGTTTAAATGTTTAAATATTTGTTTGAAAAATGTAACTAGATATGTCATAAGTTTAAATGACAACAGCATGCATGGTATTATGCACAATACATTTAGGATATTTAACAACATCAAACATTTCCATTATATAAAAATCAAATTTTTTGCCGTGCAATAACTTTCCGTGCATATGCATATAAAGAGCATACAGTGCTCAGCGCAGGCAAAAAAACGACATAGTCAAATTTAAAAAGTCTTGAAAAAGTATATTCAATCATTTCTAAATGTCTTTGTATAAAATTACAAAAATTTTACTCTTGTAAAATTGTGTACTCTTCATATAACTAAAAATGTAAGCATAATACTTATAAAGTATAAATACTAATGCCGGTTTACTTGAAGCCTGCTAACTGTTTATGTCTGTATAGTCAATAAATTTTTATATACAATTGTTTATAAAAGTTTATTGACCATACAGGCATACACAGTAAGTTGTGTATGTACTAATATAAGTTGCTGACTTTTATTAAAAGATTCCTGGTTTGATATTAGTTTTTGGCTTTAAGTAACGTTTACTGTCTCTTTTTGTTTAGAAAAGTAACAGTAAGAGTCTCTCATGGCCTTAACCTTTTAATTGCGAGATTGCATATATTGATACAATTTCCTTATCCTCATTAAGTGCTATTCTATTTTACGACAGAAAAAGCTCTTTTTTATTCCATCGATCTCTGCTGTTTAAATTTATGTTACACATTCCAGTTGATTCGAAAATGTTAATTTCTTTTATTATGTTTTTTAGATTAAAAAGTTTTTCTAGAGCCTCTATTTTATTCGTCTGACATTACAAATAGTAGCATGCAACTTTTTTACAGAGTGTCTGTCTAATAACGTAGCAGCAGCTGGTTAAATTATTAGAAAAATTCAGTATTCATTATCATTACTCTCGTCGACTATTCGATTGTTTTCTGAAATGTAGCTAAAAGTCCACGGTTAGCCCGGATCCTGATAACGCCAACCTAGCTGATTTAAAAACACCATTTATGTGGGGTGATAGCGTACACATCAAGGTAACCTGTGATGCAAATTTTGAAATCTTTTAATTTTATACGCGGAAAATGATTTAAACTAAATGTTCAAAAATAGATGAAATTTTGACTTGAGTGTGCGACAATAAAAAAAAATGTGGAGCAAGAACTACTAATATAATTTGATAAAAATTGGTGCAAAAGTAGCATATGGTCACACCAAACTCTGGATAAAATTTCAGTTGGATTAGTTAACTGCTAAAGGATTTATGGCAGTTTTAGTTTATATTTTGTTAGGTTTTTGCTCCTTAGACCTCTCTATACTTTGATATTTGATCACTATTTTCAAATTAAAGGTTACACGAGTGTTCTACTATGTAATTTCAACAATTTTTAATATAATTGTTTTATTGCTATATGTATCATTTTCATTCTATAGACAAAAATACTGATTTGCTATTTGAAGTTAGTTTGAATTGGCTTATGCATAGCGCAAACATTTCCTTAAGAATAAAACACTGCCAAAATGCAAAAAAAAAGTGCAAAACATGGCAAAAGGATTATCAGTTGGCAAAACAGAACAAAAAAACGTTCTAGTTAAAAGAATTATATTTGCCCTTGAAACCTTCTTAAATACATTAACTTTCGAAATGAGGTCAAAAAATATTAATATAAATTAATATTTATATGTAATATTAATATAAACCCTATTTTTTACATTATATTATCATCAAATAGCATCTGATTAATTTGTAAGACGCGATCTTTTATTTTCTCCACAAAAAATTTATATTAAAATTCATAATTACTAACAGCATTTAAGGATTAATGTTATAAATGGTTAAAATGTTCATTATAAACCGTTAGCTATGATTTTCTGCTGCCTAATCTAATAAATCAAATTATGGTAACATTTCGTTATTTTATTTTGAAATTTTCAATTATTTTAGTAAAATTCGGCTGAAGGATAAACTAAAGCAAGCTATTACAACTATATTGAAACTTTTGAATGCTTACATTGTGATGAATGTGATGAATGTTGGGAACCGAGTTTGCATCAGCAAGTTGTTAGAGAAAATCTATATTTTTATGAAGCTTCCTGCATTTATTTCCCTTGAAATGGCCCATGATACGGGCTCATTTGAATGTTGAGGGCAGTTGGCCACTTAACAGCTTCTATCCAAGCAGTATTAAGTATCTTGAAAAGATGATTGACAAATTCTATGTGGAGATGCAATTCCATCGGTAAGATGATTTCCAAAATCAGAACATTGTCAGGCCCACTGGTAATTGGCTTTTGAATGACACTGCATAAACAACTTTGCAAGAGCAACAACCCCGCTAGATTGATGAAAAGACTCGAGGCTAGATTTGATTGAGCCCAGTATTTGCAAGTTTTCAGACTCAGTATGATAACTGGGTTTGATGTCACATCATGTACAAAGGTGCATACTTAAATAGGTTTGAAGATCACAAACTATATTTGCAACTTTCATATCGCATGCCAAAATTAGTTTAACTCCATTTACATTATTCAGGGACTAGATTTGTTCAATTTTTGAGATCTGGCCAATCTTCTGATACAGCAACAAGAATTTGTTTCTTAACTCCAGTGTTTTTGCCAGTCCCTTGAGTAAGAGGTTGTTTTTGAGGCGGTGAGCTGATATCAACCATTAACGCAGTATCAGTAGTACTGAACCCCCATCTATTCCGAGTTTAGCAAAATACCCCCCAGAAATATTTTGAGATCAAATAACATGATTCATAAGACTTGATAAATCATTGCAGTGAAAAAAAAACCGAACTGTATCAAAACCTTCTTTGCCGTCGGTAATTTTTAAATCACTGCAAGTGAAGAAATCGTTCAAGTTTTGACCTGCTCTTAAGAATCTCTTATAAAAATTAACCATCATGCTACTTGATGTTTGTTTAACAGTTCTGACCAGTTTCTTTAATCCGTTGTTTGAAAGTCCCGTATTTAATTATACCTTTACAAATGCAAAAGAAGCAATTTTAGAGCGCATGATATTGGCTGGGCACTGCTGTGAATTGAAACCAAAACATAATTAATTTATCTTTATATTAAACTTTGTTTAGAAAATTTCTTTAGAAAACTTTCAAATTATTCGTTTTAAAAGTGATTAGAAACTTGTTAAGAATATACTTCTCAAAATCTTGTCTCTTTTTTAAAAGATTCTCTTTAAATATATATGTAAAAATTGTTTAAGTATAAATATTTACCAGAGGTAAATTTTTTTTTTAGTGAATCGGGTTTAGTAAATCGCCACAACGTCAAATCAAGCAAAAGTTCACGATGAAAATTAAAAATTTGAGTGTTTGCTCTGTTTGAAAAGATGTTTAAGACAGCTAACTGTTTTCCGAGCAGACCGAATATGCTAATTTTCACGATTTGGCGAAAAAAAAAAACGATTTTGTTGGTAAGAGCTTATAGTAAGAAACTTGAAATTTATTGATAAATATAAATTATATTGAGAGTAGCAAAAAAAGTATTTTATCAACTTTTTGTTGTATGGGGAAGGTGTAGATAAAATTGCAGGGCTTTTTTGCTACCAGGCTCAAATCAACGCAATTTTTTGCAAAGCATCCTTAGTGACATAAATATAAACATAAAAATGTATGGAGTTTGCTCTGTCTGAATGGTAATTATCTCAAACACCAAAATATGCAAGACCCGTCCTTGAGAAATTGTATTTATATTATTTTCTAATGTATATTAGTTATAAAAAAGTTATGCTTTTAAAAATGTTACAATCAAGAGTACACAAAAGCAAAAGCTTACGGTGGTAGCTGGAGGAGAAGGAAGCTGAAATATAACTTATTAAAATTACAAGTATTTTCAAAAAACTGAGATCTGATACAAACCCTTTTGACGTTCAAAACAAGCTGACAGTGATAGTAATGCTGCCAGTGATGTCGCTAAGGGGGTGAGGGCTGCATCGGGTGACACCATCACAATCTGACACAGAGGGGTGACACTAAAATGAAAAAAGTGCAAATATGACAGAACTGCTCATTCTTGAGTCAATTTATTTTTGTAGTTGGCTTAACCAATAGTTTTCAGGTTTTCATTTTTCAATATTCTTTATTAATAACTCTGCTATTTCTTCATTTCATAAAAATTTTTCGTCTTTTTTTCAAGATCAAAAAATTGCATTTTGTAACCCCAACTTTTATTCTAAATGACTTTTTTTTTTTTTAGGAATACAAAACCCATCGGTCGGCACTGTTAGTGAAAGTCTAAAAGGAGAACACCAGAAAGGTTTACCTTACTGGGTGACACAAACGCTAGTAACGTCCCTGAATGCAGCACAAAATCTACCAACAATAACGACACAGCACAATAATCTGGCAATGATAATAATACACTTCAAGAAAGTGGCATTGATGGTAATTTGGCATTGAAGGTAACAGTAATTTATGTGGAAGTTTAGTAATTGTTTAGTAATTTATGTGCAAGACAGAAATTAATATCCATATATTAACAAGAGTCTTGTCAGATAACAAGGTCTTCAAAAACATCATGATTGTTTTCCAAAGAAAGGTCATTCATATTTGCTCTGTGGTTAAAAAATTTGGAAACAAAATAAACAAAACTTGATACGTCAATTTGATTGAATATACTCCGATAAGCAACATACAGAGCATGTCATCAAAGCAAGTAAACTTAATAAATTGTCTTTAAGATAGTTAATGCTATAAATATTCTCTAATTTTATTCATGATGGGGAAAAAATTATTAATAAATAAACAAAAATTCCAATGAAAACTCGGGAAGAGGCATCCTAAATAAACAAAGAATTCACTTTTGGGAATCAAAATTTTTCCAGTTTGACTTCAATATTACTAATGCGGAGAAAATACAAACAACGAAATGGTTTTAGCACTCATAATTTTGGGCCATTTTTATCAGCAATTCACCTGATAAAAATCAGGCAATTTGCCTGATTTTCATCTGGAAAATTCTCTATTAAATGTTAAAAAACTTATCGATTAAAAAAAAACATAAAGTATGTTATTAAATACTAAAGCTTTTATGGTTATATT